GTTGGTTGGTTGGTTGGTTGGTTGGTTGGTTGGTTAGTTAGTTAGTTAGTTAGTTAGTTAGTTAGTTAGTTAGTTAGTTAGTTAGTTAGTTAGTTAGTTAGTTAGTTAGTTAGTTAGTTAGTTAAGTTAGTTAGTCAGTTAGTAAGTAAGTTAGTTATAGTTAGTTAGTTAGTTAGTTAGTTAGTTAGTTAGTTAGTTAGTTAGTTAGCTTAGTTAGTTAGTTAGTTAGCTAGCTAGTTAGTAAGTTAGTTAGTTAGTTAGTTAGCTTGTTAGTTAGTTAGTTAGCTTGTTAGTTAGTTAGCTAGTTAGTAAGTTTGTTAGTTAGTTAAGTGCACCTTGGCCGACATTGTAGTTCTTGTTATCAGATTCCGAGCCTTTCGTTTGGATTACTGCACTATACTGACGCGGTGACAACGCCGTCTCGTCGAGCTAGCATCATGAGCCAATTATATATAAATTAGATATAATAATATGATCAACGCCGCGTGTCTGTTGATAGTGCCACCGCGTGCTGCAAGATCACTTTTAAGTGCTGTTGATTGGATTCAGAGCACCTACCTTTCCACGACTTCATTTTGGGATTAATGTCGTGGCGCGATAACGGCAGAATGTAGCTGCAATAGCTGCGTCTCTAAGCGATAGAGTCCTCTAATAGATAGAGGAATAATAGATAGAGTCCTCTAAGCGATAGAGGAATAATAGATAAGAGTCCTCTAAGCGATAGAGGAAATCCATTAGAAATCGCGCATCATTACCACCGCCACGTGTTTGCCGCAGCTCGTATCTGCACGATGAGGTGGGCTCGGAGAACGATCTCCTTGCTGTTGGGATTGTTGGCCCTCTTTTTTTTATAATGACCTTACATATATAGTGACATAATGCATATATGAAAATACATATATGTACAGAAAATACTGTATCTGGAATACTGTGTAGCATAATTCACTGCATGATGGTACAAACTAGTTGTAAGTAGTAGTAGTAGTAATGTATACATGGCATAAACAGGTTTACAGAGAAGTACATACATGAGCATACTAACTATACTTCGTTACAAAAGGAAAATACAATTCATGAAGAAATATTAGCTGTTAGCTTGTTGGCCCCGTTCTTTGGTTTGTGGTCGGCTCGGATCCAAACCATCGATTCTTGATGGATTTCAATGCTGAGAATGTGTTAGTGCAAACGTTACAGTGCTCTGACTTCTGCGGTGTTTGGAAACGCATCTGCGCAATTGCACTTTTCAGTTACCCGTAAAAGCTATAAGTTACGTTGGCCTTAAACGCGTTGTAACTCGCGCAGTATTTCGGACGCAGTTGCAATCTAAAAAATCGCACGAATTTTCATCGATGTCGGACGAAATCATCGATTTCTCAGCGATACGCACATTCCGCTTCGTTCGTTGACGTGATCTATCTCAGGCCACAGATGACAGTCTCTCTGCTAAGTCCACTATATGCACGTGTAACATGGCTATTATTCTATCGCGAATCGTAATAGTGGTACGCGTCGGTGAAATACACCGGTGCTAAAACGTCTGTCATGCACAACACATAAAGAACAAAAGAACTGCTATGTACGTATTAAGGCCAGTAAACGTTTAATGAACATATCTTAACTAACGTATACTCCCACAAAGGAGGCAGTATCGCGTACATATGTTTGCGCGGTGCATGAACATAACTTACGATTTCAATAGAAGAGATGCGGTCGCAAAGACGATGCACAGAGTATATTCGAACCGATCAGTACCAAGAGTACGTGTCAAAGAAATTGTGAGAGAGCTGTCCCGCACATTCCGTGCGCGCGGTTTTATACGCGCGTCCGGTCTGTTGTCCTTCTCCTGGCCAATCGGCCTTACCCCGCGCGCTCACTGGCTGGACCGCGTTATGGGACTGGTTCCAGTCAGTGCCCAGCAGTTAAACAAAGACCCGACTCAAGCTTTTTCCATTATGAAATATATTTATAGAACTAGTTTTATCCTTGGCGCGTGTCGTGCCTTCATAATTACTTATGACATTAATTTCTCACGCAGCGCACGCACGCACGCGCGCGCGCACTAATTTCTCACTATTAACACACGCAGCGGCAGAGGCTCGCGAGTTGTTGTGGGTAGCCTTATCTCCTGGGAGGAATCTATCATCAATATCACGTCATAGTTCTAATAATGGTTGCAGCGTCTTCCAGTGGCATCTAGTATTGCGTTAATGGGCACTTAATGCGAGCTACCAGCGAACCGGCACGCGTCTTATATTAATGACAGCACGCAATCTGATGTCATTGTAATGACGCAACGTGCATAGTATAATATATATTTCTCCCGCGGCGTAGCGCGAGTGTGAGACGTAACGCAATTATGCGTAATAGATGGAAGTGAGTATGCTGTATTCACATGTAGCGTTACTTGGCGTAGGTGGTAGTGGGAGTGGGAGTGGCGGTGCTAATCTGATCTGCGTGGCCTTGACGTGTAATAATAATAACAACAACAACAACAACAACCAACAACTACAATAGCAGCAGCAGCAGCAGCAGCAGCAGCAGCAGCACCAACCATAATAATGATAATAAAAAAAAAAATTCTATAGACCTCCATAGGGAATTTTTCTATAGAGTTCCATAGATAAAAACCCCTATAGAATTCTATAGAGAGGAAACATTATAGTCCTATAGAATTTTTTCCCTATAAAATTAGATTCTTCCCTAACAATATTATACACCACTATCCCTCCTGCGCTATGGTGGCCCAATTGGACGTTAAGTTCTACTTCTGTTACTGGTACTGCTGCTACTACTGTTACTGCTACTGCTGCTGCTGCTACTACTGCTACAACAACAACGACAACAACAAGACGAATGCGTGGTACATGCCGGGCTATTATTATACGGTGCGTTTACTAATGCATAAAGGACGACTATTTAGGTCAAGCTTATCTTAATTTCCCGAGTCTTTCATAATTTATTCGATACGTCGCGTCGTGTGAGGCATTGCCACGGTTGTGCCATATCATGATAAAGCAGTAACGTATGGCGCTCCGTATAGCTCCAGAGCCGTAGCAACATCTGCAGTGGGCTGTTCCCCTCCCTAGAATTTGGAGAAAAATGAAAGCATCTGCTTAATAATTTAAGATAAATCATATGCATTATGTAATATGTTTCTTATGTAATGTAATATGTATTATAATATAATATATATATATAAAATGTGTATATAATGTATCAAATATAATGTAGTGTAATATGTAATATGTAATATCAGGGGTTAATAATGACAAATTTGTCATTTTTAACCCCTGGTAATGTGTAATATGTAAAAGGTAACCTGGTAATATCATGTATATGTAATATGTAATATATTCCAATGTGTCACAGGCGAAAAATTTAAAATTATTTATTCGAACTAGTCTTATATTATATCTTCTCCTCGCTGCGCTGCTCATTTCTAGAGCTATAGCCGCGTAAACAACATATTCCCTCGCTATTATGTGCGGTTGTAGATCAATATACTAGTGCTGAGAGGGTCTATGTCCCCCAGGGTACTGCCGGAACGTACCCTGGGAACGGTCCGGTATACCGGAACGTACCCTGGTACTATCTAATATGCCGGACCGTACCTCGCCTACTCCACTAACGAGTCTAGGGACTCGCCTACGCCTACTCCCTAACCTTAACCCTAACCCTAACCCTAACCATATCAAATAGTTACCAGGGTACGTTACGGTATACCGGACCGTACCCAGGGTACGTTCCGGCAGTACCTTGGGGGACATAGCTAGACCCTATGAGCTATACGAGTAATCGTCGCCCCCACGCCCCGCTCTCGCGCCTACCCCGTCGAAATTAACTATATATATAGAGCTCTATATTTTTATTGTTTGTACACAGAGGCGTACGTGCGGTGTACTGGTGTGTTGCAGAGGAACGGCATTTACAGGAAATTATCAGTAATAATGGGCGATAGAGAGTAGCGAAACATTAAGATTTTGGTAGTAAATACATTTCGTGTTGATTTGTGCAATAATTTTTGTTATTGAAACGTTCCAAGTGCCTGTGTAATACATGGCTCGACGTTAGTTTACCCAGTGACGCAACCGTTGATAACACGTGCTCTGACGTCATGCAGAAATGCGTGTTTAAGTGTAGGAAAATATGACATGGTTAAATTCCATCCCTGCTGTAGTCCACTACACCAACAGAACAACCTTAACACCATCTTCCCTCCCTTTCGCTCTACTGCGTCACATATACCACATTGCAGCTCTGATTCGCGTAAATCTCGTACGCTTCTAAAATCTTTCGTAGGACCTGGACATCTCAGATCAACCTCAGCAGCTACAATAACGTAATCATGCACAGGCGGTCTCTGCTGCGTTATATTAGCAGGAGTACATGAATAGAGATATCTCTCTATTCAGGTACGCCTGATGTCACGGTATCTATCACCATTGTAAATAATATCAGGGGTGATCGACTAATGACAGAGTTCAATATTCACTTCCTGATAATACCCTATGCAATAAAATATAAATTGCGAACAAGCGCGAGTTGACTAATACAGAGGCTATGAATAAGTTGCTGTTGCTCACAGTAACTGTCAATTACTCTCCATATTATACCTGCAGCTTCCGCCGAACGAATTTCTGAACATCGATGCGATCCTTGAGGGAGTGATGCATCGTATTGTGATCCGGCCGCTGAAGCAGCATGTCTACCAGTGCTTCGTCGACGAATACTCGCAGTGAGTAATTAACGTGATTACGTCACCGTAAGTAGTAAAAGTAGAAAAAAATTATGTCCACTTTTTCACAAAGTGTAAGTGATTCTGTTCACTTTGGTTTTATGGTTAAATTGCTGCATTATACTTCCTATTTTGCTATTTCGTTCGATGTGAACAAACACTCCTGACTCATACATAGCCCATAGCAACCATTTAATGTCGTGATCAATATAACAAATCGCCCAGATTTTTTGGATTTTTAACTAGTTGAAAAACAATGTTTAGCAGGTAAGAATTTGAGGATACATTTAATGCCGTTAGTACTTACGTTTCATGTGAAAAAAATTGCAACAAAAATTTTACAAATATACACCATAGAAAATTCGCGACGTAGTCAAATTAAGGGGAAACGGTGATTTTGCGGGACTCGGGATATTCGACAATTTTAATTAGCAGGGAACCGCGGGAAATACCAGGGGTGGTGATGGTGGGTTCGTGATTCGTTTGTGAATTGTTTGTGGTCAACGGAGTCGCGCGTGGAAGCCGAAATTGCGATTTAATTAGTCGTGTACTGATATATGGCCGTGATATTCTTTTACGGGTACCTGATAAACTGGGAATAGACCCCCCCCCACACACACACACACTATGTTATATACGGTCGGCGTGTGTTGTGTGAATGTGCAGTGACTGAGAGCGTGTCATAATCACTCTCTCCGTCACTCATCTATATCTACGTTTTATTCCTACTATTTTCTCCACATCTTTGTTCTCGTTTTGGTTGATAATGATTATAGAAGTGGTTGTTATCGATCAGCACCACGTTTATTGCCCCTTATGGCCGTAAATATACACGTTTTATGCGTAATAAATATATACATGTAGGCCCCTAAATATACGTATTATAGAGCTCCGAAGTGATGACGTCACGGTGGCATGACAACGAACCCACTGGTTCTAAACAATCATATGCTCTGGTAACATTAACCGCGTGAAAATGGTGTCGTGTTTTGTACCCGATTGTAACCATCATTCTGAGAGTCATTATTGCAGTTTTTTATAGATTTCCAAAGGATGGAAGTGAAAAGTAACGAAAAAAAAAAAATAATAATAATTAAAAAAAGAAAAAAATTAAATATAATAATTAATTAATTAAATATTGTAAGATCGACTTGCTACCGATGCTTTAATGCTGTCTGCAGCGCACACACTTGTGTTTTACGTACGCACAACATTTTCACGCAGTTAATGTTATCAGAGCATATGATTGTTTAGAACCAGTGGGTTCGTTGTCATGCCACCGTGACGTCACACTTCGGTACTCTATACGTTGTAACTTAATTATGCACATTACTCAGCAGTGTGCGTCTTCCAATTGCATCTCCGGCGTCGCATTTCTGATTGTAAATCATCTCTACGGTTTAATTCCAGTAATGGATCGCTGGCCCTGTTGTCGGTGAGCATCAAGTATGCCAGGACCCTAACAACTCAGGAACTTGGCATAAAGGTTCGTTTTCACTCATAGTAAATGTGTCCGATCAAAGAACGCGCGCGCACACGCACGCACGCGCCAACGAACGCGTGCAAACGCACTCACGAGCACACATAGACAAACTAGCTGTTATCAGGAGTGAATAATAATAGATCTATAGATATATATTATATATTATATATTATATATATATATATGTTATATTATATATCTATGTAATAATAGATCTATTATTACTCACTCCTGCTGTTCATTACCCTAAAGGGTTCTCGATACATTACACAAATGATGATCAATACGGGAGGAAAGGAATCTAATTGACTATATACCCACGTCGTACCCATTTATCGCCACAGTCACATCTGAAACCTCCGGGAGGTCTGTCACTGGAGTTGATCAAGCAGTATCTAGCGAAATTGCAGAAAACCTATTCACCACTCAAGAAACTGGAGAACCTCCTTGGTGCTGCCAACACTATTTACGAAACTGTGAGTTTTAGTTTTATCGCGTTGTATTCTGATGAATCTATCAATTATGATTATTTCAGACAGCATTCCACTTCATCACGCCGTAACTGAGCCTTTGTTATCATAATTTGTCTTTTATTATTATACTCTACGATCAGCAAATTGAACAGCTTACTTGAGTATTTTTGGTGATGTCTGTAGTTTTCTTCTGTCTAAGCCACGTACGCATAATGGTACATATATATAACGCACAAGATTTTCTCTTTCGATGAAATGTGAGCGTGACATTATAGCATTTAGACAGAAAGGAAGTTGAGAATTGATAGGCAGGTATGATGCAGTGATAATGCATCTTTATTGTTAAGCCTGCTCGGCTCTGTCTTAAAAGCAAGCTATTAAATCCACTTTTTGCTCAAAAGCACTTTGCACATTTCCTGTCTTTTTGTATTTGTTTTACTTTTGACATCAGCAGCGCCATCTGTATGGCGTTCCACAGGTCACAACTATAAACAGCCGTAGCAAGGTGGCTGATTAATCGTCTTCTTTTTTGTGTATAGAATTCCGCTCTTTTCGCAGGTGATAAACTCTTGTGACCAGGGGAGAAATATCACGTCAATGGGAGCAGATGGTGAGTAGAGATGAGGCCATGGTACTCGATAGCGTGCCCCATGAACGTATGCCAAAAATATCCTGTCCTTTGAAATGCTTTGCGTAGGTGTCTTTTCGCTGGCCTTACTACTACAATCGGTCGCGACAATGAATAGACAGTAGCACGCTAGCCTCTAGCTCCTATTTCTGCCTCTATATATGAAACCTGCGTGAGTAGAGAACACTGGATTGCTGAGCGGCCCCCCGCACATGTAATTACAAATGTCGTATCGAAAATACCACGCCGCTCGTAAACACCTTACACATTACTTACTCGTCCTCGGGTCACCTGCACACGTATATAGCTGTGTTATGTATATACGCACACACACACACACACACACACACACGCACGCACGCACGCACGCACGCACACACGTACATGCCATGCGGCGGTCCCATCATGCACATATGACACCTGCAGTCATTATCGATGATGTACCGTAGTGGTCGCGCACACTACTCGCTCGACCCTCGGGGGGCAACAACAATGAGTTCCCACCCGTGTTCATCCATCGCCTTCTCCTAATGAGGTCCAGCATCATATGCATCCCAGCGCAACCCGAGGCGAGCCGCTCAGTCCATAGGTAACTTATAATTATTGCTGTTGCCTCCGCCGCCGCTGCTGCTACTCCTGCTGCTGCTGCTGCCGCTGCCGCTGCTGCTGCTGCTACTGCTGTTACTGCTGCTGCTGCTGGTGCTGCTACTGCGGCTGCTGCTGCTACTGCTGCTGGTGCTGTTGCTGCTGCTACTGCCGCCACTGCTGCTACTGCTGCTGCTGCGGCTGCTGCTGCGGCCGCTGCTGCTACTGCTGCTGCTGTTGCTGCTGCTACTGCCGCCGCTGCTGCTACTGCTGCTGCTGCTACTGCTGCTGCTGCTATTGCTGCCGCCGCCGCCGCTGCTGCTGCGTGTCAGCCACTCTGCCGTGCAACAGATAATAAACGCTTTAATGTGGCCTTATACCGATAGGATGTGTTTAATGGTATACCACTCTATCCCCGTGAACCGATGGTACATACTTTGACCGCAGGACGGGGGCAGGCTGTAGTCGGTGTGTCGACATGCAGGCGATACATCAATGTGTTTCCAGCTGCCTGGTTATATATGTGTCCTTCTTTCAAAGGCGTCCTCTCTTCTTCGGGGGATCTTCCTTGTTTCTTGGTTAGGTGTCCCTCTTCGAAAGGCGTCCCTCTTTTCTGTGGGGGATCTTCCTTGTTTCTTCGCTAGGTGTCCCTCTTTGAAATGCGTCCCCTCTTCTGTGGAGGATCTCACTAGTTTCCTACTACAGTATTAGGTTGTGGTTGTGTACGTAGGTTAGGTATGTAGGTTAGGTCACCTGCTATGTATGGCGCATGTGTGATTTTTGATCGTCTGCTTTTTAACCTGGTGTCTGTCGGTGTATGGCGCCCTCATTTCTTCTGTGTAGATCTCCCTTTGCTTCTCGGTTTAGTTTTCTTGTTAGTTGGGTATCATGTATGTAATGTGTGTATAACTCTCGCCTGCTTCTTACCTATGTGCCTATATGTGTGTGCGCGTGTGTGTGTGTGCGTGTGTGCGTGCGTGCGTGCGTGTGTGCGTGCGTGCGTGCGTGCGTGTGTGCGTGCGTGCGTGTGTGCGTGCGCGTGTTCGTGTGTGTGCACCCCTTCTCGTCTGTATTTGGCTGCAAACCTGCAATGCTTCATCGACTTAGGCTCGATTTGTCACGTAAGCGTGGCTTCATTCAGCTCACCAGGCGCGTTTTCCCACGTGGCCAGCTGGATAGCTGATGTTTACGACCACGCATTAGTCGTGCAATCGAACCTGCGGCCCATTTATTTATTTATATTTATCTACGATATGTCACACGTGCTTTATACGCACTGAAAGTAATAATAAACACGTGCGGCTCGCTGGCAGGGGACAACTGAAGGGGAGTGGTGCACACTATATACTATACTATACTATACTATACTATACTATACTATACTATACTATACTATACTATACTATACTATACTATACTATACTATACTATACTATACTATACTATACTATACTATACTATACTATACTATACTATACTATACTATACTATACTATACTATACTATACTATACTATACTATACTATACTATACTATACTATAGTACCTATACTATACTATCACTGGCGCCCACAGGTCCTAAGAAAGTAGAAGCACAGAAGGATAAAATCCTCAGTGATAATAAAAAGCAAGCGCCGTAGGCCCGCTGCATGCTAGGGGGTCTGGTGGCATGCCCCTCCCTGAAAAATTTTGAATGGTAGACGTCTGGCGATGCAATCTGGTGAGTCTTGCAAGAGAGATTTAGGAACAAAATGTAGGAACAAAATTGTACTGGAAGCACTGTGCTTCCAGTGCTTCTATCTGGGCCGCCACTGTATACTATACTATACTATACTATACTATACCCTTATACCTATACTATACTATACTATACTATACTATACTATACTATACTATACTATACTATACTATACCTATTACTATACTATACTATACGTATACGTCATACTATACCCCTATACGTATACTATACTATACCTATACTTTACTTTACTATACTATACGCTATACATACTATACTATACTATACTATTACTATACGATATACTATACTCATACTATACTTATACTATACCTATTACTATTACCTATACTTATACTATACTATACTTACTATACTAATACCTTATACTTATGACCTCATACTATACTATACTAACTATACTATACTTATACATATTACCTATACTAATACTTATCTATACTATAGCATATACCGTATACTATACTGATACTATACCTACTACTATACGTATACTATACCTATACTATACCAGTATACTTACTACCCCATACTATACCTATACTATACCTACTACCCCATACTATACCTCTACCCTCATACTATACTATTACTATTACTATACTATACTTTATTACTATACTATGACTAGTTACTATACTATACTATACTATACTATACTATACTATACTATACCATACTATAACTATTTACTATCACTATACTATTACTATACTATACTATCTATACTATATATACTATACTATACTATACTCATACTATACTATTACTATACTATACTATACTCCTATTACTATACTATACTATACCTATACTATACCTATACTATACTATGACTATGCTATGCTATGCTATGCTATGCTATGCTATACTATACTATACTATATTAGTGGCTATACAGGTGGCTATATTAGTGTTCTATTGTCTCTGGCTATACTACTACGTTATAGGCTTCGTACGGGAACGTACAGCACTGCTGCTGCTGCTGGGTTTTATACGCGATTGAAGCGCTCGCTGTTCATCTCTGCAGCTGTGGAAGCAGCAGGGGTATGCCACACTGGTGGCAAGCAAGCGGGGATGCATGTAGGGGATGCGTGAACGATCGATTAGATATATAGAGCAGTAAAACTGCACATATTGCAGCGCGGTTGCGTCCCCTCACCCAGCCTCCCCCTCCATCTTCCCTCTGTAGCGCTCTGTGGGGAGAGCGTATATATTAGATATAGAGCAGTAATACTGCACATATTGCCAGTTGCAGCGCGTGGTCGATCCCCACACAAACAACCGAGTTCTTACAATACGTATATTGGTATACTATAGGCAGTAAATGTAATATCTGCCACATTATTGCCAGCGTTGGTTGCATACTCCAACACCACCAGTTAGCTTACAATACGTATATTGCGGTATATCATAGTAGTTATACTGCATATATGTGCGCTTACGCGTCGGTTGCATACCCCACCACATTCACAGTTAGCTTACCATACGTATATTGGGTAATACCTATAGTAGTAATACTGCACATATTGTAGCCGTGCAGCCGCTCAGCATTCCGATTGCGTCTGGTTGATCCCACACCATCACCAGTTAGCTACAATACGGTTATAATTGGGTATATCAGTAGCCTAATACTGCACATATATTGCAGCGTGGGTTCATTCCCCACACAACATCAGTTAGACTCTGCAATACGTATTATCGGGTAGTATGCGAGTACATACGGCTGCACAGCTTCTGCACGGTTTGCATCCTTGCCACAGCACTCAGATCCTCTTCCCATCTTGCGCGCCCTGGCTGAGACATTGGGCTGCGAAGCGGATATCGCGCACATCTGAACACTGCTATAGTCTACGACTCTACGCCGAATCAATTGCCTTCAACACGGCCGTGTCTGTAATATCGACGGGTGTTGACTGTACGCTGATGGCCGCTCAACTATTATGGCAAACTGGACATGAAATGCCAGGCAGAGACTGGTTCTGGCCGGTGTGTATGCTGCGGGTAGCATATACCACGGCATTTCCCAATTTGTCTTTTCTTCCTTTTGCATGCCCCTCCCCAACAGAATTTACCTTAACGGGCTTAGGCCCGGTATTATCCGTAGCGTCAGGTGCCGGCGCTCATAGGGTCTATGCTCCCGCCCAGGTACTGCCGGAACGTAACCCTTAGGCCTGGGTACGGTCCAGGTATACCGAGCAACGCTACCCTGCGTAACTATCGCATATGTTAGGTTAGGGTTAAGGCTAGGCGCTAGGCCTAGGCGGTTAGGGTTAGGCGGTTAGGCAGGTAGGCGGTAGCCGCCGACTCCTAGACTCGTTAGTGGAGTAGGCGAGGTACGGTCCGGGACATATAGATAGCTACCAGGGCGTACCCTGTTCGGCGCTAGTCCACCGCGACCCCGTACCCAGGTCGGTACGTCTCCGCCGCGAGTACCTTGGTGCGAATAGACCTCTCAGCGTCAGTGCGGACTAAACGTGAACGCCAAATAAGGCATACACGCTTGCAGCTAGCTCGACGAGTCTGTTCGCGACTGACTGGCTTAAGTGTTATGATACAGGGCGTGCCCACACGGCATTTGCCCTACCAGGGGGTGGTCTGACCGCAACCTCAACTGCGAGCACGCGAAGCGGGGGGTTGGGGCCCTCCCCCCAGAAATTTTTGTACCTGAAATCTTAAATCCGTCTTAGACTTGCCTTTTTCTGCACGAGCACGGGGGGGGTCGGGGGCTCGCGCCCGCGGTCCGGACCCCCTGGACCCCCCCCCTGTACACGCCCTTCATATAGTTGGCCCTAACCCTAGCAAAGACCGCTTCTTGGAGCATACGTATCAGCCATGTAACATATGTCGTCGCAGTTCCAAGCCCTCACGGCTTGCATCACAATACCGTTACATTCGCTTTCTTGGAAGAAGAAATTTGACCATCGATCTAATTCGATAGGAGCGTCTTATTTGCATCTTGCCTCTTTGCCGTTTGTTAAATCGTCTATGATCAATTACTGTACTATCATACTGTCACAATGTCAATAGCAATTCTAGAAGCGCGTCTTCGCTCGCCCGAGACAAACACAGACAGACAGAGACAAGAGAGAGAGAGAGAGACTAGACCAGTAGAGAAAGACCTTTTCACAGTCTGGAGGACGAACTGATGAGAGAGACTGAAGAGCAGACGAAGAGAGGATCGCCGCACGACGCGGACGGCTGACGCAGCGCGCAGCACCGGAGGCGGACGGGCGGAGAGCAGAGAGGATCGACACACGACTGCGAGAGAGCACAGGAAGAGAGCAGAGATGAGAAAGAAGAGACGAGAAGAAAGAGGTCGAGGGAGACAGGAGAAGAGAAAGACGGATGAGGCGAGGCACGGTCGTCCGGATCACACCGAGGGGTGGGCGGCTGGTCGCGAGCGGCGGGCGGTCCGCGGGCGCGGCGGACGCGGACGAGGGAGGATAGAGAGACAGGCCAGACAGAGACCGAGAGTAGAGACCAGAGGAGGAGAAAAGCAGAGCAGGAGCAGACCGGACGCAGGAGCGCGAGGGAGCAGCGAGAGGAGACGAGAGAAGAGACAGGACGGGAGTACCGAGAGTTCTGAGAAAGAGGAACAAGCGACGAAGAGAAAGAGACGGAGAGAGGAGAAAAGGAGAGAGAGGCGACGAGAGACACCGCCGCGGAGAGAGAGAAATATATATATATCGCGACGCGCGACACACACACACACACACACACACACACACACACATACACACTATATATATATATATATATATATATATATATATATATATATGTGTGTGTGTGTGCGGTCGTGCGTTCCAAATACTTCGCTGAGGTGATTTTGCTGTCAGCGGTATCATGTTTGAGTGAGTGTGTTACGTACGTACGTATATGTGTGTGTTATGCTTGACAGACACACGCTGTCTCTGCGGTCCCACATGCACGATGATTAACCATGCGGTGATGATTGTGTGTGCTGAATATCGCATTGTGTGACTGCGCGATCGCCAATGCGTGTGTCGCGAGAAAAAACCCGAAGCCAGCTATCATCTCCGTCTCCGTGACAATGCAGCGCAGTGACAATAAAGTCGCTATTCATGTGCGCGATAGCTTGGCTGAGTTTCTAATGTGATCCAGTAGGTAGTGTAGATTAGCTGATCCAGTAAGTGTTCGCGCGATAATAGACCGTGCGCCTACTTAGTTTTGCTTTTTACCTGCTTTTATGTGGATGTTGTACTGGGAATACGGCGCTCTTTTCTGCCTACTTTTATGCGTGTTGTTGGATGGATACGCAGTACGCAATATAGTCGATTATATTCTTGTTTTCCTGTTCACTCGACTCCTACCTCCTCTTCCTCCCCGCGGAGAAATTCGAATGAGTACTTGCATTGCTGCATTCAGCTTCCTGCAATTATTTCCTGCAATCGGAGAGTTTTGTCAGCAGTGATTCTTTATACCATATCGCGTTCAGGCGGTTTTTTCATGGGGGAGTGGGGGGGGCGATTTATTGCGACTGGCACATACATGCATGCCTTGCGGCGTTTCACGCGGGTTTCGGAGCTTCAGTGCGGTTATTTTGTAGTAGCAGAAGCGCAGAACTATGACATTTGATCGGCGGGCTTACGATGTCGTGGTCGGCTTCCCCGCTCCCCTTCTCCCACGGCTGTTGATGAGTAAGGCGATCTCCGCTGTTCTCACTGCTGCTTCTATAATACAGGCCCAGCAGTCGAAATCGGGTGACGTCGCCGGATATCTACGCGTAATGGTGCCGAACGAGATGAACGACACCATCGTGCATAAGACACTGCCCGTGCGACCGCACACGACAGCCAAGGAAATAAGTAAGCATTCATATATGCGTGCGTGCGTGCGTGCGCGCGTGCGTGCGTGCGTGCGTGTGCGTGTATATATAGAATAGTAGACACTGCCCGTGCGACCGCACACGACCGCTAAGGAATTAAGTAAGCATTCATATATGCGTGCGTGCGTGCGTGCGTGCATGCGTGCGTGTGCGTGCGTGCGTGTGCGTGTATATAGTATAGTAGACACTGCCCGTGCGACCGCACACGACTGCCAAGGAAATAAGTAAGAATTCATGTATGCGTGCGTGCGTGCGTGCATGCGTGCGTGTGCGTGCATATATAGTATAGTAGACACTGCCCGTGCGACCGCACACGACCGCCAAGGAAATAACTAAGAATTCATGTATGTGTAATGATTAAAGATTCATTCATATATGCGTGTACTAGCTCTCTCTCTCTATATATATATATACTCTCGTGTGCGTGTGTGTGTGGCTGTGTCGTGGCTCGTGACGTATAATGTATACCATGCGATGTTCTAACCCAAAGGTTCTGCTTGGCGCGGGCACCCTTGTGAGGTACCCTGAGGTAATAACAAAGTAGACAGACACGAAATGTACGTACAACAATATATCTATTTAATTGTTACACAAAACTTACAGAGACAAGTTATTAGTTATATATTTAACGCAAGATCTCTAAAAGGAGTTTACACACGCAAATACATTTACTAGTCTTAAAAGGAGTTTTAAGACATACGTTTTAAGATGCATACTGTAACACGAATACGATAAGATCTAAACTATAACACATATACGGTAAAACTTATTCATACTCACATACCGAAAGAGAGCGAGAGCGAGAGACAGAGAGAGAGACTCCGAGAGACTCCTCTCCCTCTCCTCCTCTGCTCCTCTGATAGAAAACGTCTCTATTTAAGCAAGTCTGGATGGGTCACGTGATCTTAGTAGTGCTACGTTTTCCAGGTTAATGTCTATGTAACAAGGCCACTGTCCTCCTTTTTTAATGATAGGGGGAGGGTTTCTTTTGTTTACTCGGAATGTCGTACTTGGCAGTACTCGTATCGAACTGCCTATAACGACGCGAGTGACCAAGTGCCTGAGGTGTGTCCCTGTGTCGGATCTTAGCCTCGACATAGACGTGGTCAAGAACCGTGCCTGTCCTGTGGTGTCGCTCTATATCGTAATGATTTTAGCTTCATTACACTACTCCCCTCTTTATGAAAAAGTTTGAGCTATATTCTATAGCGAAGAACTTTAAGGTTATATTGTACGTTTTTTATTCATGTTATGCCCTTTTTTTTGAAAAAATAGCGTGTTAATCCCCTCTTCCAAAAACCTAACTAACTTAATTATTCCTTAATTAATCTGTCGTCTTTAATTGTCCGTGGGAGTATCTCCGTGGCTCCGTCGGTTCATCTCCGTGGGGCTTGTCCGTGGGGCTTCTCCGTGTAAAGGTCTGGTCTCAACTGTCTGGTGTTGGTTGGTTAGGGCCGCTCTCGGATGATGTAACGTTTGAGTTCCTCGCTCCAGAACATCAAGGCGTCGTACCTGCGATGATGCCAGGACTCCATGTGGTCGTAGTACGACGTTCGAAGTCAAAGGGGCAGGGTGGGGGTCGCTAAGCGTGAGCGAACGTGGCATCGGAGCGACTGCGAGAACTGGTCTTCCTGGAGTGTTGAACCTGGTTGCTAGGCGACGGCGGCGATTGACAATCTCGAAGTGTCGGATGTGCTGCCCGTGGTGCGTGGCGTCCGTGGTGGTTGTGGTGTCCGTGGTGGTCCTGTCCGTGGTGTTGGTGTCGTCATTGTGATTCGTTGTTGTCTGCTTCGGGTGATAGGCGGTGTAAAAGATCTGGTGTGGTAACGACCGCACGTCGATCACGGTGTTTTCCAGGTTTAGAATCGTTTGAGTATGGTCGCATTGTTGTAGTCTGCATCGACGGTGTTAGCATAAGTAGTGATGAGACAGAAATGCTGTCAAAACTGATAAACATAGGATTATTCACTGGTCGTGAATATCATAATCAAAAACCGAACGAAAATAAAGTCGAAAGTGTTATACGTATAAGTTATACATGTATTAAAAAAAAATCCCGTAATTACGTAGTTGCAAAAAGAAAATATAATGTAAAGAAATATAGATTGAAAAAACATATAGATGAAACGAAATTTCAATGAAACCAAAAAGGTAAGCATGAGATAAACGTTTAACATCGTACTCAATACATAAACTGTAATACGCTCTAAAAGTACACAGAAATAAAAATCATAAAAAATTTAAACATATATTGTGTGGTCAGACAACAACAAAAAATAGTGGGTCAACAACAAACAGAAATACGTGCCGTTACTGGCCCCTGTGCACTTCTATGCCTGAAAATACTAAATCAGTTAGAATCTGCGCCTGATCATACAACATGATTTGCTCGAATATCATACAATCAGATATGTGGGGGGGGGGCGAGTGGTTAAAGCATAATCAGTTAAATCCCTGATATAATATCTCTGCGTGTTCTATCTAGTACTCTCGCTGTAGTACTGTAGTACAACTGGAAAAAATAAAGCATAAAAATGGAAATAAACGAAGACTAAAATAACGAAATGCTATGATCTCTTAGTGTTTGATTAGTGGTTTTGCGCTCGTTGCAGGGCTTCAGCAGCTTAGTAGGTGATCACTCCTACCAAGGCACTAATTGCTGATCAACGCAAATGACGTCCCGTTTATCTAACCTGTAGTTAATCAGAGGGAGTCGTCTAGGCGGCTCTCAAGTATCGTCATAACCGAATATGTGTGCATAAATGTACGTTGCATAATGAATTTAAACAGGTAGACGGTGGGTGGGTGGATGTTTTTCGGGCCCTAGGGGGGGTACAATTCCCAGTGAATGCTTTACACTGTATGTGAGTGGTTTTTTATCCAACATGGTTGACCTTGTCTCAAACCCTGTATATACGAATAAAAATTTACCACGTAGGTGCCCTCAAACCGTAGTTAGTGAATGGTGTGACAATTTCGCTGCGCAATTGATAGTACAATCCGGGGGCTACACGACGGCTCCCTGACCTCGTTAACCGTTAATGACTTTCGTCTCACCTTCACTTTCGTAAATCTTTGTGGACGAATTTTGTCAGCGATTTTGGGTTCTCTCTCTTACTTCTTGACTGTCTGTCATGGCTGTGCAAAATCCAATCTCGCCTCTCTACGGCAAGTAAATGCGTAATTAACCTTACCTTCTGGGGTATTCTTAATTACCTGAGTGGTACCACTGTACGTATCTAGATATGAATTGGCATTGTACGACGCAGTTGAGAAACTCACAAGGCGGGCGATGATGATGGCGGGTGGAGAAAGTAGATCATAAAACCATACGGATTAAAACTATTGTTTTCCAGTTTATTTACGACAACTGAAAACACTAAAAAAACTAACCTTGTTTCTCCTTTACAAGCTGTTACATAAACACTGTCGAGAAATGAAATCTCAGTTTCATCGTCTGACAAAAAAGGTAAAATAATGTTAATAGCACTAGGGTATATTCGTGGTAAAGGGTATATATAATAACCAACAGATCATGCGCAGATCCACTAATCAGAAATCACAGGCGTAAAAGGTGCACTTACGATTTCATGTTCATTTCTTACGGCAGCGACACTCTGGCCTCGTGCTTCGTCTCCGCGCTCACACGCGACGAATGTAGAGTGTATACCGACATAGATCTCGGATTGTATACCGACATACCGAGTATACATAAAAACAACGGTGACTGCTCGCTAGTCCGAAAGCCCACTAGTCCGAAAACCCACTAGTCCGAAAGCCCACTAGTCCGAAAACCCACAGGGGATGGGGTATCGATCTATAGTCCTAATGTTTAATTAATTAATTAATTATTTTTTAATTAATTAATTAATTAATTTTTAATTTTTAATTTTAATTTTTAATTTTAATTTTTAATTTTAATTTTTAATTTTAATTTTTAATTTTAATTTTTAATTTTTAATTTTAATTTTATTTATTTTTTAATTGAAATTTTTTGGCTATACTAGTATAGGGTCTATACAGTCTGAATTGACGCCCGAGCATCAAGTGAGGATGGGGCAGAATCTCAACCGCTACTACTAGTATACCGTACTACTAGTTCTTTAATATTATTCATGACCTGTGGTCTGTGCGGCCCACAAATGTGAAAATCAACCACAAATGTAAAAATAACCACAAATATCATAACATGTCAACCACAAATGTAAAAATAACCACAAATGTCATAACATGTCAACCACAAATGTAAAAATGTTGTTTAACCACAAATGTAAAAACTTTTTCATTGTAAGATAAGTTATTTCGAGATGTAAGTATGTGTGGGTGTGTGGGTGTGTGTGTGTGTGTATGGTTGTTTGTGTGTGTGTTGGTGTGTGTGTATATGTGGTGTGTGTGGTGGTGTGTGTGTGAGTGCGGCTGGCTGTGTGCGTGCCGCAGTGCCAATGTGTGCGTGCGCGCATGCGTGTGTACGTGGCGCGTCGTGTGTTGTGCGCGCGTGCGTGTGTATGTGATGAAGCTTGGCGGCGATATGAGATTGGCGGAATTACGAGGGCGGATAAGAGGTTTTACACGAGTCTACTACCAACTTTTTGCACACATCCTCACACCTACTTCACACACCTTACATCCCCTAAAATTAATGAAAAAAAAATAAATGAATATGATCAAAATTATTAATTAAACATTAAGGTATAGATCGGTAACCCATCCCTGTGGGTTTCGGATAGATGGGGTGATTCGGACTAGGGGCTTTCGGACTAGTGGTTTCGACTAGGGGCTTTCGGACTATTGTCCGTCGGACTAGCGAGCTGTAAACCAAACAACAAGTCATAATTAGCACACAATAATATCAACGGCAATATAGAACGTAGATCAACCACAACAATTAATGAAAAAACGTCTATTACTTTAGAAAAACAAATCTTCCCTTAAAAAAAAACCGTATTTGAATGTACGGTATCAGTACGTACGTTAGACACA